GCCGTAGAGGTGACTGATGCTCTCTTTTCAGCAAGCTGCAATGAAAAACTGGGTGTATTTGCCTGAGGTTTTTGGGTAATTCTAATTCTACTGTTACTGGATTTATGATCCTTTTAATTGGAAAAGGTCCTATATATTTTGGTCCAAGTTTTTTACAGGGCTGTAGGGACTTTAGGTATTTTGTAGATAAGTACACCATTTCTCCTATAATGAATGGTGTAGGCTCAACCCTTTTTTTATCGGCTTGTGCTTTGTATGCCCGCCTAGCTTCATCTAGTGATTTTCTGACTATTGGCCAGGTGTTTTGTAGGTTTTCCATCCATTCTTTCAGTGAAGGGATCGTTGGTTCTTTTGGGGTTAACTCTGGCATAGGGTTGAAACTTTGGCCGTTGGCTATTTGAAAAGGAGTGTAGCCTGTGCTGGAGTGGACTGCATTATTGTAGGCAACTTCTGCAAAAGGAAGTAAGTCCGTCCAATCACTCTGTTGGAAATTTAAAAAACATCTCAAATATTGCTCAAGTACCGACTGGCAGCGTTCCGCTTGTCCATCTGTCTGAGGGTGATGGCTAGATGTCAGTCCCTGAGTGGTCCCTAAGAGGGATAAAAATTCCTTCCAAAATGTAGACGTAAATTGCACTCCCCTATCAGAGATGATGCGTTGGGGTGCCCCGTGCAATCTGTAAATGTGCTGGATAAAAAGTTTTGCTAAGGCCTTTGCAGTGGGAATTTTTTGGCAAGGGATAAAGTGCACCTGTTTGGAAAATAGGTCCGTGACTGTCCAGATAACAGTATTCCCATTGCTTTCAGGCAATTCCACTATAAAATCCATGGCTATTTCCCTCCAGGGGGCTGAGGGACTTGCCACTGGTTGTAACAGCCCTGGCGATTTCCCTTGCAACCTCTTTGCTGATGCACAGGTTGGGCAGCTGGCAACATAACTTTCTATGTCCTTTTTTATTGATGGCCACCAAAATTGCCGTTTAATTAAGTGTAAAGTTTTTACAAATCCAAAATGCCCTGCTGATTTTGTGTCATGGCAAAGTTGCATGAAAGTTAGTCTTTGAGTTGTTGGTATATATAACTTTTCCCCTACCCAAGGCAATCCGTCTCTCATTGTGCACACATGTTTGTTTTTCTGGAACCAATCATCTGTTTCCAAACTTTTTCTGAATTCAATCCCAGTTTGGCTGTCCAGTTGTGGTTTTATTTTGGCTTGGGTTCTTGTGGTTACTGGCGCTGCCAGTTGTGACTCTGCCATTATTGGTCTAGAGTCTGTGGTTCGTGCGCTGTTATATTGGGGCATGCGAGATAGTGCATCTGCCAGGAAGTTCTTTCTTCCTGGTAAATGTTTGAGCTTAAATTGGAATTGGTGAAAATGCTGGGACCAGCGGGCTTGTTTGGGATTGAGTTTCCTGGAGTTTTCAGGGCTTCTAAATTTTTGTGATCAGTCCATACCTGGAAGGGGATTTTGTTGCCTTCCAGGAACTGTCGCCACGTGAGTAATGCCCAACGTATCCCATAAGCCTCCTTCTCCCATACGGGCCAGCGCTGTTCTGTTTCCGTGAGTTTCTTAGATGTATATGCACAGGGTTGCAATACTGCATCATCATTTTCTTGTAATAGCACAGCCCCCACTGCCACATCACTTGCATCTGCCTGTATTATGAAGGGTTTGTCCATGTCTGGGTGCCTTAGTACTGGTTCGGCAGAAAAAAGTCTCTTTAGTCTCTCAAACGCTGCTTGGCACTCCATTGTCCATTTTAGTGGCTGGCTAGGTTTTACTGAGGATGTTCCCTTCGTTTTTAGTAAGTTAGTGAGGGGCAAGGCTATCTGTGCAAATGAGGGGATGAATTGGCGGTAAAAATTTGCAAAGCCCAGGAAACTTTGTAGTTGCTTTCTTGTGCGGGGTGGTGCCCATTCTAATACTGCTCTGACCTTCTCTGGGTCCATTTCAATGCCCTGTGGGGATATGCGATAGCCTAGGTAGTCTATCCTTTCCTGGTGGAATTCGCATTTTGAGAGTTTGGCATATAGGTGAGCGGCTCGCAGCTTCTTTAAAACCGCTCTGACAAGTTTGACGTGTTCTTCTTTTGTTTCAGTAAAGATAAGAATGTCGTCCAAGTAAACAAGGACCCCCTTAAACAGGTGCTCCCTTAGAACGTCATTGATTAATTGCATAAAGACTGCAGGGCCCCCTTGTAATCCAAATGGCAAGACTTTGAATTGATAGCACCCCATGGGGCAGTTAAATGCAGTCTTCCATTCGTCCCCTTCCTTGATTCTTACTCGATAGTAAGCTTCCCTTAAGTCTAGTTTAGAAAAAATTTTCCCTTTCGATAGGTGTGACAGCATGTCTTTCATGAGGGGCAGCGGGTATAGGTTGCTTTCACTGATTGTATTCAGGGCCCTATAATCCACGCATAAACGTAAGGAGCCATCCTTCTTCTCTCTAAAAAGGACCGGGGCAGCCACTTTAGGCTTGGCTGGCTCAATGAAACCTCTCTCCAGGTTTTTTTTTTTATAAATCTTTCCATTTCCTCCTTCTCCTTTGGGCTCATGGAGTATAATCTGGGCTTCGGGAGTTTTGCCCCAGGCTTGAATTCAATGGTACAGTCTGTGGGTCGGTGGGGGGAAGCTCATTCGCCCTCTCCTCACTGAAGACTTCAGCAAGGTCCCTATATTCCTCTGGTATTTCTGTTAATCTTTTTTCCTCTCCTATGGATGCTTTTTCTATTCTTGATTCTGGTAGCCTCCTTGGGGTTTTAAGTCCATAGGGTCCCCCTTCGGGAATTTGATTTCTGTCGTCCTCCAATTTACCCAGGGGTTCCATTTTTTCAACCATTCCATCCCTAGAATCATTGGGCATTCCATACCTGGGGTCACCACAAACGTTAAGTCCTCTTCATGGTTGCCCAGGGAGAGATGTATTGGCAAAGTGGCTAGGGTAGCTGGCACCCCCCCTGCTATGGATCCATCTAGCTGGCCAAATGAGATTGGTTGTTCCAGTCTCCTGGATGGGATGCCCAGATTCCCCACTAGTGTTGGGCTAATGAGGCAGCGGGTACAGCCAGAGTCTATTAAGGCTTTCACCTTCACAGCTTCGGGCATGGGGGGGATTAATATAGTCACTGTTTTGAAGATGGGTGTGATGCATCCACTTACCAGGGGTTCGCCCTCCGAGCTGTCATCTGAGGCATCCACCGGCCCTGTGGTGTAGGCTGGAGTCCTTTCCCCTTGGTGAGCAGAGGTGGGGGTTTCTGCAATTTCCATCATTCTCATGGCCGTTTCTTTTGGCTTAGCTGAATACTTTCCGGGTTTGTTGATTGGGGATCTGTCTGGGTTGTGCTGGGGGGCCTTTGAGCGGCATTCTACAGCTCGATGCCCTTCTCTTCCGCACTTGAAACATCCCATTTGCTTCTTGGCTGTATCCGATGATTTCACCGGTTGGTGTGTCAGCTCAGGCGGGGGGCGGCTCCATTGTTTTCCTCGGCGGTGCCTCTTCAATATGTCGATCTCTGCTTCCTCTGCCAAGACGTACCATTCCTCAAGTCGATGTGGGGCAGGCAAGCATCATATAGATCATAGTTTAGTCCGTCTTTGAAATGGCCAAGGAGGATGTCTTCTGGCCAATTCAGTTTGCTGGCAATGGCCTGGAATTCTTGTGTATACTCGGCCACTGGGCGTTTGCCTTGCTCCACTGTTTAATTTTTCACGGGACTTTGCGATCAGCCAGGGGGTCTTCAAATCGTCTTATCAAAGAGGACATGAAACGGTTGAAGTTACTGAGTTCTGGGGCATTGGAGTCATGCAGGTTCACCACCCAATCTGCAGCTGGTCCATCCAGGGCAGATTGCACGATCCGGATGCGGGCTTTGTCGCTGGGGATGTCCTGCCCATATTCCTCCATGTAGCGGAGGACTTGGGTTAGGAAAAACCCCAAGCGTGTTGGCTCCCCTTTGAATTTCACTTCCAACGGTGGACGTCTTGGAATGGATCGGTGCCTCTGTTGTGGGTGGTAGTGCCTTCCGTCCAGATTGCCATCTGTGGTCCGGTAGGGGGTGGGAGCTCCTGGATCAGTAGATGTCCCGGGGGTTGCAGGTTCCACGTTCCCCTCGGTGTCTCTCCCTTTGCGGCTCCAGGAACTGGGGCAGCCGTAGGGTTCAGTATTCTCCTCTCCTAGGGAGCTGAGAGTTCTCTTCATCAGGTCAATAGCTTTCTCTAGGATCCAGTCTGAGTACGGTGCCCAGCTTCCTCCCTCTTCACTTGCGTGCAGGGATTTCTCCATCTCCTGCTTCCATTTTGGTTGCTTGGTCCCCCGTCTCAGGGTCACCTTTCTTGATTCCTTTCCCCACTCACTTTTCTTTCCAACGCCCATCGACCAGCGAGGCTTGTGGTCCTGTGTCTCCACCACTTCTTCTCCTGAGGAATCTGGCCTCTCGGATCCCAACATCTGGCAAGGTTCCAACTGGGTCAGCGGCTCTCTTTCCAAGGAGTTTTCCCCCTCTCTTGCTCCATTGTCTGACATGGTAAATTTTTGCAAAATCCCCCGGCAAGGGTCTTCCTTCCAGGTGGATTAATTTTGCAAGTCCTGTCTAATGTAAGGACCCACCCCACTTTGCATCTTAAGAAGACAGAACTCTTGGAATAATTCTTCCAACAGGAATCCTTTATTAAGAGAAGTGGTTGCAGGCATGCTAGACAGGACTTGGGGTTCAAGCTCTTCCATTCAAGGTTTTAAGGGGTTCCCCAGTAGTCCCACCCAATCAACCCCCCTTCCAGTGATAGTTTCAAGTATCACAATTCCACCCCTTTTCTTCTTTCTTCCGTCTGGATGGAGACTTCAGATAACTACATGAAAGGCAAATACTCTCCTTTGGTATGCTAACACTTCGAGGTTACAATAAACACACATTCAACATTCAGCCCTTTGAAGTGTACTGAAGGAAGTGAGGGCCATAAAGCCCCTTTGTTCTCCCCCTTCTCTCCCTCTTATGGCAGAATCCAGAGATGGCAGAATTGGGAGTTTCTATATTTGATAATTAAAGATGAAATATAATTGGATTCTGACACAGCCCTTGCATCCCATCAGGCTGCAACACTCCCCGGTGCCCATTCCGTGAGATTGGTGTCACCTGATTCCCAGCATTTAAGTCATTCCTGCCAGGATTAAAGTCCTCCCCCCTCTTCCTACCAGCAGCCACCAATGGCAATCTCAAGGTCCATCAAATCTCTCCTCTTTGCCAAGGGTCCCAACAGGGGTGCAGTTAGGTGCCCCCACAGAGGCAAGCAGGCTGCCTTCTCAGGTCTGTGGCACCAGCCTCCGGGGCCATCCCACCCATCCCCCCACCAGGAAGAACCAAGGAGGGGCCAGGCTGTGTAAAACCACTCTCTCCTGAAGTCAAGGACCCCCTCTTGTCTGTTCAGCAGGGTCTGGCCCTCTGTGCCAACTGTGCCAACCTGCTGGAAACACCTGTGAAGATGCCCCTAGTGAAAAGCTGCAACCCAAGAGGGTGAGGGCCACGTGTGTCATGGCAAAGGTGTCACCCTGGGACCAGAAAGGGCCGGGTTCAAGTCCACCTGAGAGTACAGAAGCTCCCTGGCCGGCCCTTCTTCCTAGTGTGAAAAATTTTGCAGAGGCTGCCCCTCCCCTTATCAGGGACTTGGTGGACTGAAGGAGCAGCACTGGCTTAGAGGCCAGTTCCTTCGGGGCCAAACTGCAGCTCCAGAACTGGGGCTGGTCGATCCAGCTGACCCCAGACAATCCTTGGTCTGCGTCCAGGGCCTCTTCGAAAACGGGCAGCTGAAGGGCCCTGCTGGCATCCCCTGGCTGTCTGAGCTCAAGTGGAGGCCAAAGGATGCAGAGAGATGTCCGGGAGACCTGCACTGGAGTCCTGCAGAGTAGCCGGAGGTGGGGGTGGATGGGGGCTGCCTCCTGCGTGGAGCACGGCTTAAATACAGAGAGGGGAGGGTGGCCCCAAGAAGGCTTTACAGGACAGGAACCACGAGCCCTCTTCCAGGGTAGACTCAGCCCAAGGCATTGGTTTCGGGGCCCAGGGAGGAAGAGGCCCTACCTGGGGACTTGCGAACATCAGCGGTGAAGAGCCAGTCAGCCGCCTTCTTGGCATCAGGACCCACCAGGTAGAATTTGCCAAAGTAAGACATGTCAAAGAGAGCGAGAGCATTTCGGCAGCTCAGGCATTCCTTCCTGATCTGAAAATGCAGACACAGCCAGGGTGGGTGAGGGGCCAAATAAAGATCCCCCCATTTCTGCTTCCATTCCAAAATCTGATATCCTCTGGCAATCTCACCCAAGACTTCTCTGCTCTGCACCCCTCCCTGAAACCACATTTGGCAGAATTGCTCCTGTTTAACAGTGGGCCACATCCAGCCCAAGCATGAAAACTGCTGGGCAAGGCAGGGCCTGCAGGGAGAGGGGCCTCTCTTCGACAGCTGCACAGCGATCGACCGGGACCCTTACTGCCTTCCTGGGAAGGGGAAGGCAGCAGAGGGGCTTCATTTCCTTGAGTCTGCCTTGCCCACCTGGTGAACCTCTAACTCTAACCCTGAGCTCCCCTGAGCTCTTTCTACTCACACTGCTATGATGAGGAGGGAAGTCAAAGGTGTACTCCTCGGAGAGCAGCTGGCGGTAGGCATCCTCCTCACGGGGTGGGTGGCCGTAAGCTCCATAGTAGTTGTAGTCCAGCACCTGGATTGGTACATGAACAGCAGGCCTCAGACCTCTCCCTGCAGAGACGCCCTGGGGAGACGGGCTCAGAGCTGAAAGCCGGATGTTGTGCTGCGGGTGGGGTTGCAGGGGAAGCCAGCGGGGGGCTTCGGCCTGACTGAGCCATGGAGGGAGGGAGGGAGTACATGCTGAGTGCACTTGCAGTGGACAACTGGCCATGGCCAGGATGTCCTGGGTGGGATTTAGCCTGACCACATGGCTTCCTCTCTAGCCTGCAATCCTGGGATTTCCATGTGATCTCCCATCCAAGTTCTAATCAGGACTGGTTCAGCTCGGGTGTGCCGAGATTGGCTAAGGTGCCCTCTCTGGCTGGGACGAAAGAACATCATTTCGACTGGAGCAGACCGGCCCTTTCTTCCCTGGAACAGACCGGTTTATATGGCACCCCAGGTGCTTGGGAAGCAGGGCTGCCAATTGTTGGGCTGGTTTATCTGAAATGGTACAACAAGGTCCAGTATAGAAGAGGACAGCTGCCTGGCTGGTGGCCCAGAAGGCACTGAGCAGACGAGGCCATGTCTGGTTGCTGCACCGCCTGCCTTCTTCCCGCTGCTGCAGCCGCCTCCCCACCGCTGGGCCAGAACAGAACCACCTTCTCCATCCTTGGGCCATTCAAGGGGAGACATGAATGGAGGCTTCTGAAGACCTTGAATGACCCCGAAGGGAAAGCAGGTCCCCTGCCCAGCCTTGGAAGAGACTCGCCCGATGCGTACCGGTGCTCGGCCGAGTGGGTTGAACCAGCCTGGCCTCTCCCACCCGTGTCGCTCCTGGAAGACGCAGCCCTGAAGCAGCAGCTCCTGCGGGCACAGAAATGGTGAGCAGGGAGAAAGCACCCACACTCCTCCTCCAAGAAAAGCTGGAAAAGGTCTTTGCCTGAGGCACGTGGGGGGGGAAGGGTCCGCAATGCACCCAGCAGCTCCGCCCTCACCTCATGTAGAGGATCCTTCCTCAAGTTACGCCCAGCCAGAGGCTCATCATACGGAAACACGATGGAGTAGTTCTTGGCGTAGGACTCGTGGCTCCGCTCTCGAATCCAGCGGCTGTTGCCCGAGAGGAAGCGGTGAAACCTCCTGAAAAGTGAGGTGGATTTCATCACCACAGGGGGTGGGGGAGGCGTGGGACAAGCAGCATCTCTAGGGGACGAGATGGACAAGGACCCCTGGGGGCCGGCAGATACCTTGGGACCAAGAATGACCTCCACAGATCCATGACAGGGGACCCTCTGGCAGCAGGACCCTGTTGCGGGTGGGGGGCTTATCAGGGGCCAGAGGGCTATTATCTGCCCCTGCTGAACTGGAAGAACTAATAGTCTTTGCTACCACAGCAAAGGGAACTGGAAAAGTTCAAGGGACAGGGGCAGGGCTGGAAGGGGGGCTGCACACAAACTGAAAGGAACACACACAGTGCAGCAAGAACATTTCCACTCTCCACTGGATTAGGGACTAATCCTGAATCTGCTTGGTAGGACAACAGCGAGAAGCTGCTGCTTGTTCTATCCCAGCCTATAGCCATCCTTGTTAAAGGCACAAGGACCAAACCCCTGTTGAGAAAATAGGCTGGAGACTCAAAACTAAACAAACCCCTTTTAATATGGGTAACCAACCTGCCAAATAGTCCAGAAACAAAAGCAAATGAAGGACATTGTCCACATGAAACACAATACAAACAGAAAAGTAGTCACCGGCAATACTAACAGAACATGATCCCATGAAGTACTTTGCAACAGTTGCCTTTAGCAACCAGCACAGCCCACACCTCCCCTTTTTATAAAGCAGTCCCAAGGCGTTGCCTCTCAATGCCTTCTCCTCTTCCCCTAGAGTTGTTGTATTGACTGCTGCTGATCGGCTCTTGCTAATTGCCGGCATCTATGAGCATCAATCATCATGTCCATCAGGTGTGAGTCCTCCAAGTCTGACTCATTCTCCCCACACAGCTGAGCTTCATCAGGAACACGACTGGAGGGCCCAGGCTCTTCATCAAACCGTGAGTCCTGTAATTCATCAGAGCCGCCTTCTGACCCTGATGGCCCTTCAAATGCCTCCTCCACCTCCTCCTCAGATTCCCCAGACTCAGCTGTTGGGAACACAGGCTGGCATGGAATCATGACACACTGCTCACCTAATGTCATAGCTGAACATGTCCTTCTCTGGATGTCCGTGGACAATCCAGTGGGCCAGTTCCTTCCCACAGCCTCCTCCAAGCATCATTCCTATGGAAAGGAAGGGCTAGAAGTCAAAGATGCTCCTTTATAAAATGCATCCTCTACCAATTCTGGGCTGCTTCTTTTGCTGGACAACTTGGGAGCCATAGATAACTGGATTTCTGCTTTCCTACACATGGAAGAAAGCTATTTCCTGACAATCTTGCAGGGTCTCACTCACTTATTAGCTCAGAATGGCCCTTGCAAATTTATTTAAATGTGACCTTTAAGGCGGCAGCTTTTCACTCAAAGCTACACAGTGATTTCAAGAACTAGAAACTGCAGGAGATAAAATTAACCAGAAGCTCAAATAAGGGCTTCACCCTGTGTGGGGTAGGAAGCAATGATGGTAGGAGCAGCCTGGCCAAGGACAGCTCTGCTTCTGCACAGCAAGGCCTTTGGCAGGGTGAGGGTGCTGGCTGAGTGAGATTTTTGCCTCAGGAGCAGCCCTGGGCTCCGGGTCATCCACAAGGCTGTGGAGAGGGGTGGGTGACCAACGGGGCTCCTCTCACTAAATCCTGAATCTATGCCAAATGCATTTATTTAAATAGGGTGTTTCTCTGCTGCCATATTTATGGTGCTCTCACCTTCCATGCTCTTCTAGGATGTGAAAAACCCCAGCAAAAGACTCTTCTGCCTCCTCTCCAAAAGCACACATACCCCAAGCAAATCTCACTAGGACTGAACAGCTCTCCCCGGGATCAAGCTGGGGGGAGTGCTTTTGGGGAGCCTTGGAAACATTGTTCCCCCCTCCCTGCTCTCTTTCTGCAACAGAGTGTCCCGGGCCCACGGCTTGGCCCAAGGGCAACCACTGGCCAGCGCCCTCTTCTAACGGACTTGGGCTGAGCACTTTCCATGCCAGAAGCCAGGCAGGTGCACATTTCCCCAACCCTCCTGCCTGGGAAGGCTGCAAAGGTTACTTTAGGGGCCGAGGCGGCTTGCTCCTTACCGGCACTGTTAAAGCCACATCCCAGGAAAAAGCCACGGACTTCTGGCGCTTCCCCTAGGAGAGGCTTGTGGTCTGCGGTGAAGGATTCTGGGGCAGTGAGAAAGCGAGAGGGAGGATTAAATGCAGTGCAGCAATTCCAGCTTTAATCCTGTGCACTAATGCGGCAATTTTAGATACAGTATGCACACCCAGAGTCAGACCCCCGTCAAGAACTGCAGAGTTCTCTAATTCCTGGGAAAGAAAACTCTCTCACACATAAACACACACATACATGGATTTCTCTGTGGAAAGATCATGCTTGGAAGACCAGAGACCAGTGCACAAAGGAAGTGCAGAAGAGGAAATAGTAGGGGGTGGGAGAAGGTGTATATGTGTGTGTGTGTGAGAGAGAGGGGGGGAGGGAGGGAGGGAGGGAGGGAGGGGGAGAGAGAAAAGCACCAGCCCACTGGCAACTCCCACTGCTGGCCCCAGGACTGCAGATAAAGGAACTGGTGGTCACTTCATCCACCCCAACTGTCTTGCACCTCACCCTGGTCTCTGCCTCTTCCTCAGGTCAAGTCTTATTTTTTTAGAGCTCAAAAAATTCTCCTTGAGAATCCTTGGCAAAACCTCCCCTAATTGAGCTGAAAATACTTTAGGGATTTGTTCATATTTTTAAAAACTGTCTCCAAAACAGTCATCTTTTCCTTACTTAACCCACACATTCCAAGAAAGTACCATTTTGCATTTTTCTTCGGCTTAATATTTCTTTCATTATGACTAATGGAGGAAAGTAAGAGGCTTAAAAAAGCTGATTCAGTTTCTGCGGGTAAAGTCTATTAATTTGGGGGTTGAACTATGAGAAAAGGTGAACTATAAATATTCTAACTCCTTTGACTTCAGAAACTCAGCTCAGTTCATCACAGAAGACTTTCTTCCTTCTTGCTGACGCCTGGAAGGGCGGCTGTCAAAAAAGCAGCACTTGGAGGAAGCAGACAGGGAGCCTTCCCAGACCTCCCTCCCTCCCACTTTCCAGCATGGGAAAACAACCCCGCCTCGTCCCTCTCCCCCGGGCCCAGTGGGTTCTAGGCAGAGAGGAAGGTCACCCTCTTCCGTCTTCAGCCCCCACCTCCTGATGAACCCCTCTCTGGCTGATTTTCTCCCTGGTCTTTAGTAGCTTCCAGCCATGTTTTACCTCTCCTCCACTTTGCCAGGGAAAGGAAGGGTGGGAAGCTCCTGGCTGATGGCGGTTACTGCCACATGGTGCCTGACGCACTAGAACAGAGATCCCCAGACTTTGGGGCATCAGGGACTGATTCCGTGGAGAAAGGTTTTTCCATGGACCGGAGAGTGTGTGGTTTTGTGTGCTGCCTGCATCTCACGCATGGGGCTTTGCTTGTTTGTGCAGATCAGCAGCTGGCATGCTGCAGCCCGGTCCTATTCCACGGACTGGGGGTTGGAGACCCCTGCACTAGAAGGTCTCCAGAGAAGATCTGGGAAAGGTCTTCACTTGTCTGGATTTCTTACCTCCCTTCAGAACCTTCTAGAACAGCTCTGGGGAGGGGGAGTCCCTCCCCAGGAACACCATTTGGCTTGGGGCCAGTCCAAGTGATGGGTCCTCCTCCTGGTTATCCATACAGGCCTATGATCAGAGAATGGCCTCATCCCCATCAGGTGACCAAGAAGTGGAGGACCATCCTCTTGGGCAGCGATGATCCAGCCGGTATTGCTGGATGAAAATGGCGGGCTAAGCTTAGCAGTGGTGATTGGACAAAGGCTGCCTTGGCTCTTGTGATGGGAGTCGGGCTTAGGGAGCGCTCAGCAAAGCTGGATATGCAACTGCCATGCAGAAGGCCCCAATCTCTAAATGGGCATTGGAGGCCATGAGGAAGCATCGGCCTGATGGAATGGGTCCACAAGGGCCCGGCAAGGCGAGGGCAGAAGGACAGACCCTTCCACTGGAGCTGAGGGGTGAGAGAATCCATGTGGAGGTTTCTCAGGTGTGGGCCACAAGGTGCATCACCCGCCAAAAGCGCCAGGAGGGAGGGGGAGCTGGGCATCACGGAGGCTCCAGCTGGACAGAGGACAGGGCACAAAATGCTTCTCGGGAGGGAGAAGAGGAAGAGGAACACAACTGGGGTGGAGCTCAGCTGAAATTATTTATTGAAGTTATGATCCACCTTTATTTGGAGGCTCCGGGTGGCATCTCATTTCAATCCAGGTGAAATGCCAAAGAGGAGTTTGCTGAACAAAGCTGAGGAGAGTTGCCAAGAAAGAAGACACTTAGTTTGGTATCACTATCCTGGATGAGTCCAGAAGAGAGTTGCTGTGGAAACCGCTCCAGCAGGCCCGATCCCTGATGGGCTGGGCCAAGTGCCCCTGATGGAGAGGGGCAGAAGAGAAGTTCCCCATCTGGATACTGACCACCAGTGATCAGGAATTCTTTAAGAGGAGACAATTGATGATTCCTCTGGTGACAGTGTTTAAATTCAGCTACTGGTATAAGGATTCTTTGATGCAAGGCAGAAACCAGGGGAAGACTTGTCCTTTACCAGTTTCAGGAGGAATTGAATGGGGGGGGGGCTATTCCTACAAGCAGGTTGGTGTGCAAATGAGTGGTGTGGATGACTGAGATTGCAGCTGCTGAATGCCCGAAGATATGTAGAATAATGCCATCTCTTTTCTGCTATTTTCTCTAATCAAAAAAGTCAATGTAGCCATCTCAGCAAGTTCCATCATCACTATCCCTCCATTGTGGGTAGTGCCAAATCTTTCCATCTTTGTTGCAAGAATCTCTCTGCAGTTGTCATGTACAAGAAAGTTTCAGTTTCTTTATATAAGTTACCTAGCAGGTAAGTGTAACAGCAGGAAAGCCTGTACTGAATGCATCTGAAAATCCTGCCTACAGTAATGTAATTAACAACGCAACACCCACAAGTCCTAGTCCCAATCAGGTGGCCACACTGAGTTGGTCTCCAGCAAGAAAGCTAAACGGAGAGTAGAGAAGAAACTTACGATGGAGCAGGGGAAATAATTGCAGTCTATGTGCCTGCTTGGAGTTACTGCCACTGTTAAGAGATTTCTTCTGTCTTTGATAGCTTTCCTGTAAGACGGGTGATAGTTCAGACAACTGGGATGGGATTAGATTGGGCAGCAGTATTGCCCCAAATGCTCAAAGTAGCCACTAAGTCCAGACCTTTCATCCTGAGGGGCTCAGGTTGCCAGGCCCTTTGCCCTCCTGAGACTCCGAATTAATCCTCCAAGATCCCAGGGTCCTGATCTCTGGTTCTTCTTCCCAGAGAGTCTGGAAAAAAAGAATTTTTCCCACACACGGCCACCCGTAGTTAAATATGAGAGGCCCAATAATATTATTATTGTATTGATCCAGTTATTATTGTAGCTGCTCTGGTCCATCTGCTCCTTTTATGTGGAAGATCTGCTGTTGGCCTTGTGGTAGTAAACAAGTTACACACTGCATCACCAGCGTGCATCTTGCCTGCATGCACATAATTGTCCAAGCTGCATTGCACCAGAACTCAAGTGCCTCCATCTTGCCTCCCACACAAGCTGTGTAGCCAAGACAAGCATATCGAGAGACCTATGAATCAGCTGCAGAGTGAACCGCCTTTAGTTTTGCTGCCTCGCTTGGCAAAACAAGATGTTTTAATCTGAAGAACTTGGGACCATTTGTCCTCTGGCAAATGTGACAGGAACAGAGATATCTTCTTCCTCAAAAATGATGGCAATTCATCATACAAACGTAAGAGTTGGCAAGGCAGAGGGCAAAGGCCCACAAAGACACAGTTCCTGTCCAAGACCGATCAATTTTCTGCCATCATTGGGTGCAGAATTCCTCAAGTAAAAAGAGAGTCTAACTGAAAGGCCCAATGCAGAAAAAAGGCAAAGGCACAGAAACTGACTTAAATCAACCAGATGTCTTCAATGAGACTGGAAGCATCAGGTGAGAATTGGTGAAGTGATAGATCTTGGACCAAGGGCGAGTTCCTCTCCCCACCTGGTTGACTGAGCAAGTGGGAGGAGATGTGACATACGGGTACAGCACTGGAGGCAGCTCAGCAAAGACCATCCTGAGTTCTGCCAGCGGAGGAGTGAGGAGCCTTTGGCGAAAGGTCAGCAGGCGAAACCTGGGGAATGGCTGCAGCAGAAACCAGTGAATGGAGATTTTTGAGAAGAACCATGCAGGGCTGAGGCTCAGACATGAGGTCTACTCTGAAGAAGCACCAGGGCAAAAGACAGGACCTCACAGTGAGAAAGTGATGCTTCTTGTAAAGGCAATACCAGCGTCAGGTCAATGCATAAGGGACCAATCCGAAAAACGCCATGATGCAACTAATGCAACAGCCAGGACAGGGCATGACAAGAGCCGTAGTGGCACAGTGCAGGCTAATTCAGCTCACTGTCAGCAGTTCAATCCTGACTGGCTCAAGGTTGACTCAGCCTTCCATCCTTCCAAGGTCCATAAAATAAGGACCCAGATTGTTGGGGATCATATGCTGACTCTGTAAACCTCTTAGAAGGCTGTAAGGCACTGTGAAGTGGTCTATAAGTCTTATTGCTATTGCTATTTGCTTGAACCTGTGGCAGCCCAGCAACACGCGGCTCAGCCGTGCTCCTGGGTTCCACGAGAGCTTCCCAGAGATACGAGGGAGAGATGCTTGCCACATTCCACGTCCCTTTTGTCTATTCTTCCCACTTTGATTAAAACAGGGGAGAAAAGAAAAAGAATTAGAACAATAACTTGGGTTTATCTGGATACTGATTATGAAAATCTAGGGACTCTAACATGTCTAGAATCTACCCACTCACTCTGGCCGGTAGGAAAGTCCTTCCACGCCACTAAATACTGAAGGTTCCCCCTATGCCTATGACAATCCAGAATTGTTGCACTCCAAAATGTTGTTCACCCTCCATCATTACAGGTTCAGGAACAGGGAGAGGAACTGGTCTAAGGGGTGAGGAAACCTCAGGTTTTAATCAACTGCAGTGAAAAATGGGATGGATCCAGTGAAATGACTTTGGCAAGTCTAGCTCCATCGTAACAGGATTGATAAGGTGTTTAATGGGGAAAGGCCCCACAAACTTCAGTC